TAAACCACTTGTATTCATTGATTATAGCACTGTAAAAACAGCATCCAACCTAAACACTTCTCACAATTCAAGAGGACAGGACAAGAAAAAAATACTTTTTAATTCAAAAGCTACCAATTTAGTATGTATCAACATCAAACATACCATGCAGTAGATTTCTGTGACTGTCTATGAATTTACGAAGCTTTTTGCTGCAGTGATGAGTACCATGATCAAAAGCAAACGAGGCAAAGAAAGGGTGAATTTGACTTGTACTTCCTGGTCAGTCAGAAAGCATCATTGAAAGAAACCATGTAAGAATTTTAGAAGAATCTGAATACTGGCTCTGGATTAATTATCATTCTTATAAAATCCCCCCCCCCAATATAGTGATGGTGCTACCCATTCTGGATGAGGCCCTCCAAAGTCCATTAAAAAAGTATCCCTCACAGACATGGTCACAGGACCATCTGAACAAGAGATCATAAACTAGAGTTCCCTCTTCCAAAGTGAGGTTAGTCTGAGGCAAGCTGACTTTAAAAATTAGTCAGCACATTATGACAGCAAACAGGTTGTGTTTCCTAGGTATAGAGAAGCACTGAGTGCCTTCAGCCTGCAACAGTCACGTGCCACCCGGAATGTGCCGTAACTTAATCTGAATTCTCAGAAAAAACTGTAAGCACCCACACCTGCTCAATTACCTCCCAAGACGTTTCTAAAACTCTAATTAAATAACAACCACACTTCTGCTTCCAGTTCCTCCCTAGAACTCTGTCCACTTCCTTATACCTTCTAAAAATGATGACAGGTTTTACTTTTGTTACACATATGACCTCATATGTAAGATAAAAACCATGTGACACCATTTTGTTGTTTGGGTGTATGATTTTAGATTTGACCGCTCTGTATTAGATAACCAATTAAAGGACTCATACCCTATGGATAGTACTTTCTCTCTTGACAGTAGTTCACATTTCTTTTTCCGGGGTGATACCCCATGAGATCTAATAATTACCAATGTTAGTACTGCCATTGTACTCATCTCTGCAGACATATTGTTCACATGTTACATTCATTCCTTCTTTATTATACCGGACATCCTGGTATTCTGGTTCTTATAATCATGGCACTCTTTGAGGATGTCCCCTCAGACTCAGGTGCAGGTGTTGTCTTGTGGCTGTAGTAAGTGGGCCTGGGATCCACTATGAGTTAATCTCTACATCATAAACAAATGTGGCTTACTGGAGTTGTGTGTTCGCTCCAAGGAGATTATTAAAATAAAGGTGTGGGCTATATTTCTGGGAGTATAAATTGCTTAAAAACTCAGGAATTAAGCTGGGCATTGGTAGCACACGTCTTTAATCCCCAAACTGGAAGAGGCAGAGACAGGCGGTTCTCTGAGAGTTTGAGACCAGCCTGGTCTATGGAGTTATTTCAGGACAGCCTCCAAAGCAATACAGAGAAACCCTGTGTTGAAAAACAAAAACAAACAAACAAACAAAAACTTCAGGAATTATGCTGGCCTAGTGAAGTGGCAGTGGTATGTTTTCTACAATCAATGTCACAATCCAGATTCACTGGTTATATTTTTAGTACCAGGAATGATTTCCCTCCTGCTGGTCACCCCTTGCTTACATCCAACTACTTACATCCAACTAAACAGTTGGTGGCTACTAGAAGACTTAGATGGCATTAAAGAACCTATACTGGTATCTTGCCAGCTCGATCACTATTTAGGTTCATAGTGTTATTTACTTTCCATTGGGTGCAATGAGACTTCCTAGGCAACTCAACTCTTTGAGGGTGGGGGTGGGGATTCGAGACAGGGTTTTTCTGTGGCTTTGGAGGCTATGCTGGACCTAGCTCTTGTACACCAGGCTGGTCTCGAACTCACAGAGATCTGCCTGCCTAAGCCTCCTGAGAGCTGTGATTAAAGGCATGCACCACCACCGAACAGTACAACACAACTTTTTTTTTTTTTAAGATTTATTTATTTTGTATAGTGTTCTGCCTGTATGCATGCCTTCAGGCCAGAAGAGGGCACCAGATCTCACTACAGATGGTTGTGAGCCATCATGTGGTTGCTGGCAATTGAACTCAGGATCTTTGGAAGAGCAGTCAGTGCTCTTAACCACTGAGCCATCTCTCCAGCCCCAACACAACTTTTGAAAGATACATTTCTAGACACCCATGGTTCCAGAGGTTACAGCCCATGACTATAATTACATGTAATATGGCCACAGGCTGGAAAGCAAGCAGTCATGGGAAAGAGGAAAGTCCTTACATAATGATCTGAAAGTTGGAGATGAGGAGAAAGAGATAACTGGTAACACTGTCAACACTCAAACCTCAGAGCAGCCCCAGTAACGTAACCCTCTCCAACTAGGTCACATCTAATCCTCCCCAACTTTTCCACCAAAAGGTAGCTAAGCACTCAAATATAGAAGCATATGGGGCCGCTCTCATTCAAACCATAACAGACGTCACAGCTTGGGAAGTCTATGGACTGATTCTCGCTCGCATTTGACAACTTGCACTGAATCCATTATTACAGCAGTTAGACTTAGTGAAGGTGGTTCCCATGTTAGATCCAGCTCAACTTTTCCAAGTGTTGCTTCCAAACCGTGCAAGGCTTGCAGCAAATACAACTTACCTTCAACCTCTCAGAGATGACCAAAGGAAAGAATAGGACCTAAATTATTTGGAGAATCACATAGACTATCACAACTCAAACTCAGACTTCTCATGCCTTACACTGCTATTTCTATTGATGTATGGTTCTTGATGGTAGGGGTTGCCAAGCTAATATAGTTATACAATTACACACTCATACCTATATATATCTATGAGTGTGTACATAATCCTCCATTCAAACCTACATTAGATATTATGTAAGTATATATGCATATATATATCATGAAAATGAATTATATATAATATGTATTATACATAATACACTTTGCATGATTTAAAATTTTTGTATTTACACAATCAACACTTCTTAATCATTACCAAACATAGGTGTTTCGTCCTTCTCTCTCTCCTATATGGGCTGTCATCATTTCATCCCTAATTAGAAATCTCCTTCTCCACAATTTTCACTTTCCCCTCTCTCAAGGCACTTACAGCTAGTCCCCTCTCTAGTCTCTTCCCATATTACCAATGGAATACTGTTCTGGAACATAGGAATCTTAAAATTTAAATTGGAAATGGTAGATGGGTCAACCGGAAAACAAGTACATTAACCCAGACTCAGAAAGAAAAAATCTCTTCTCTTTCATTGGTAGTTCACCCTCCAAAATATCAGACATGAGAAGATAACCGGAAGAAACCATTTGTTGCCTTCCTAACAAATATGTAGTGCAAAGTAAATCTCCTGTGTAGGAAGGGGCCTATAAAAAATATGCTCAAAGGTTGAATGTACTTCTTTCAAACTCTAAAACTTTTGGAATATATTGCAGAAAGTATTTAATTTAATGCTGACATAAGATCCAAGTAAATGAAAAAGCTTCACAAATTTTATTTCATTAAAAAGACAACCAGCCTTCTCACAGATTAAGAGCACTGACTGCTTCACTGGGAGATCCTGAGTTCAATTCCACTAAATCAAATGGTGACTCCCAACCATCTATAATGAGACCTGGTGCCCTCTTCTGGCATGCAGTCATACATGCAGGCAGAGTACTGTATACGCAATAAATAAATCTCTTTAACAAATGACCACCAGCTTTTCAGTTTTGTAATGAAAATTTCTTTGGACTGGTTTTGGTTCCTCTGAAAGTCCCAAGGTGTTTATGATTCTTTTCTATAGCTGCAACCAAACGCAATGAGCAAAGCAACTTTGGAATGGAAGTGTTATATTGATCTTGTAGTGACAGAGAATTGGAGCCTGTAATGGTAGAGCAAAGGCAGGCTGCCTGAAACAACTAGAAGCTCATATGTAATCTACAGTCAGGAAGCGGGGAGAATATATTATGAATACTACTGCTCTCCCAAATCTCAAACTTGTCTAGAGGAACATATATTCGCCAGAAAACTATACCTCTTACTAATCCTCAGCCTGTCCACCAATGGGAACAAGTTTCAAAAAGCCTACTGGGCCATTCTCAAGTGGAACAGTTGTTTTCAATGCTACTATCCTAGACAAACTAAAAACCAAATCTAAACTTTTGCAGAGGTTTCTTTCCAGCCTGGTCCCACAGCTGATTAGCCACACCTCTCCCCCCAAAATCACACAGATTTTTACTAAATTATAAAATGTTGGCCGATGTCTAGGGCCTCTCACTGGCTAGCCCTCTATTAGTTATTAACCCACAACTACAAATCTGTGTATTTCTACATAGGCTTATATTATCAGAGAATGCCTGGTACATCCTATCCTCCCCATCTCTACATGACGTCTCTTCCTTGTCTCCTGTCTCTGCCTCTCTCCCCAGCAGTCTCCTTGTCTGCTAGCCCCACCCATGCTCATGACTCCACTAGCCAATCCGTGCTTTATTCATCAACCAATAAGAGAAACAGTGTATACAAAACATCCCCATCACTAAACAAGCCCAGTCTAACAACAAATCAAATGAGGATTTACTGCACAGAGTGTAAGGATTTTCATTCTTCACATCCTAAAATATTGGGTCTAACAATGTTTCTTTCCACATTAAAATATTGTATTTGTTAGTTAAGTCTCCACTCTCACAAACATGCCTCATTCGTATTCCTGTGTGTGTATTCATTTGAAAGTGTGTATGTGACTGCCAGAAGACCTCTTTCAGGGATTGATTCTTTGCTTCCACCATGTAAGATCCAGAAAGATAACTGAGATAATCACATGTTCTTGCAATAAACCATTACTAGCTGATGTATCTCACTGTCCAATCCCATTCATCTTTCATACCTCACAATAGAATTTGATCAGTGCAGTGTGACACAATTAATTGTGATGCAAGTTCTACACACTACACTTTTCACTGTGAGATCATTACCTGCAGATGTGGGACACACATGAACTCTGCTAAAAATGTTAATCACGTTATTAAACTTCTTTTATTCTAAACAATTGGAGTATTTTCCCACATTTATTCTGAACATAAAGGCTTTCACCAGTGAAATAAATGTTTGGGTATAATATGAACTATTGCTGCTAAAACATTTTCCAATGCATACCCATGTAAGGCCTTTCTATAGGATGGATTCTTGAGAATATGCTGGCAGCAGGAACTGGTGAAGGCTTTGGCACATTACTTAGATGCACACTTTCATTAAACTTCTTTCCAAGGTCAATTCTTGCATGTGGGTCACAGAAACTTGAAGAGGCCAAGGCTTTTCCACAATGCTGACATTGAAAAAGTTCCCCACAAGTGTGAGGTCTTTTATCCTTGAGGAAATCACAAGAAGAAATAGTTTCCCAAATACTTACAAAGAAAGGCTTTCTCTCCAGTGTGAATGTCTTTACTGCCCTTGTGCCAATTGGAACTATAGAAGGCTTTTCCACAATGTTAACAAGCATTAGGCTACTGACTAGAGTGAAGCATTTCATGTCTGCTGTTATCACCAGAGTGCTTGAAAGCTTTTCTACACTGCTGAAAAGCATAAGACTTCTCTCCGGTGTGACACCTCCCATGTCTGTGGGGACTACTGGAGTCATGAAGGCTTTTCCAAAATACTTACATGAATAATGCCTATCTTTTGAGTGAAGTTTTTTCACAGTTGTAAAGATCACTAGACTGAATGAATAGTTTCCCACATGCTTTACACAAAAAATGTTTCTCTCCAGTGATGTTTTTCATTCAAGTTAGGATATAAAGGGATAAAGGTTTTTACGTAATATTTACATACATTAATACTTCTACCTAGTGTGTTTCCCTTCATGTCTCTTATGACTATTGGACTGGCCGAAGGTTTTTCCACAATTCTTACATGCATAAGGCTTCTCTCCACTGTGAATGTTTTCATGAACTTTCAGACTACTGGAAGTGGTAAATGCTTTACAACAAATTCTACAAGCATAGGGCTTCTCTCCAGTGTGAATCCTTTCATGTCTGTTCAGATTACTGGAGGAGATAAATGCTTTCCCACAATGCCTACAAGCATAAGGCTTCTCTCCAGTGTGCTTTCTTTCATGTTTCTTATGACTACTAGAGTCAACGAAGGCTTTTCCACAATGCTTACAAGCATAAGGCTTCTCTCCCGTGTGCTTTCTTTCATGATTCTTATGACTACTGAAGTCAGTGAAGGCTTTTCCACAATACTTACACACATAAGGTTTCTCTCCACTGTGAATCCTTTCATGAACATTCAGATTACTGGAGGTAGTAAATGCTTTTCCACAATGCCTACAAGCATAAGGCTTCTCTCCAGTGTGAATGTTTTCATGACTCTGCAGTTGACTGGAGCGGTTAAATGCTTTCCCACAATGCCTACAAGCATAAGGCTTCTCTCCAGTATGAATTTTTTCATGTCTGTTCAGATGACTGGACCTTGCAAAAGTTTTTTGACAATTTTTACAAGCATAAGGCTTCTCTCCAGTGTGAATCCTTACATGTTTCTTCACATGACTGGAGCATGTAAAGGTTTTTTCACAATACTTACAAGCATAAGGATTCTCTTTTGTATGAGTTACTTTATGATTCTCAAGACATTTTGCATATTTAAATGTTTTGCTACATTGCATACAATTGTACCTTTTCTGCCCAATATGACTATTTTCATGGTTGTAAAGGTCACTGGAATCAATGAAGGATTCTTCAAAAAGCTTACATACAAATTTTTTCGCATCTATGTGGATTACTTCATCGTTCTGAACATATGTGTATCCCCTTACATCATTGTCATTGAGTGTAACTCCAGTGTAAGTTCTCTCCTGAGGCTGATGCAAACTGAGACTCCTATGGGCTTCATTATATTCTTGACTCTCACAGGGTTTCTCCTTGGGAGAAGTTTCAAGTACCTGAAGTGATTCAGAATGATGGACATCTTTCCAATGTGCCTGATGTGTAAAAGCTTTTGCCATAGCTTTCTTCCATACATACGGTGTCCCTGTAGTTTGGTCTCTGTGATAGCCATGTGAGGATGAATGACCAATGACGTTTTCTACACGAAATAGATTTTCACATACTCTTTCTCCAGAATGCAAGTCTTTATTGATGATATTCTCTGTAATCGGTTCCTGGTTTTTATCACACTCACGATCACATGTATATCCACAGTCTTTATCAATCACTTGAGTCCTGCAAAAAATGAGAAGAGAATTACTGTAGCCAAGGGAAATGGTGGAGGCTGGCTTGTATACTATCCCAGGGGGAACAGAAGAACACAGTCACTGTGAAGGACAATGGGGACCACATGTAAAGACCCTGTCAAATGTAGAGAAGTAGATGGTTGACTTTACTTCTATTAGAATTATGAAGGAATTGTATCACAGATTTGGGGTTAAAAAAATTTTGCTCTTCAGTAGTGCAGATTTTCAGGACCAGCATACTAGTTCCTGTTACTCATGGTCTGAAGGGTATTTTCCCTTCCTTTGCCTTTTAGAAAAGGTTTTGGCCTAAGAATTGTATGCAAACACATGTACAGGTACAAAACAATAGCAAAAAGGAAAGAACACGAAGGCAAAATGTCTAGTGTTGGTAGACAACCACTACAATCACATAAAGTAGTAAACACTGTAGCGTTTTGACATTCAGAATTCTAAGCCAGTGTTGGTTCAGTTAGTTATCAACTGCACGCATCTAAGGCCATCAGAGGAGAAAATGACTCAGACTGGCTTGTAAATGAGTCTGAGGGAGCTTTTTACATTCCTGATTGGTGGAGGATGCTCACACTATGATGTACATTGTGGCCATGGGCAAGAGGACACGAGCTGTGTAGGAAAGGTACCTGCAGGTTACTTTGGTCAAGGTGACACAAACAGGGACACACATCGGAGAAGAGGGAACCAGAAAGGAGTGAATGACTTTATCAGGTGAACATTTAGGCTTGTCTGTGAGGGCGTTTTGTTAGTCAGCCCGCTGTGGTGGCATCCCCACAGACAGGTGGGCAAGGCTTGTAGGAGGCAGGGAGCGGAGTCAGGGATGAGGAACACAGCAGTAAATGGCATTTCCCCATCACCTCTGCATCAGTCCTGCCCTGAATTCCCTTTATGTTGGGAATGAAACAAGGATGTGTAAGGAAAAGGGAGCTCCACCCCAGAGTTGTTTCTTTCTTTTTAATTGTCATTGCAAAGGAAAGCAAAAAAAAAAAAAAAAAAAAAAAAAAGACCCAAAATAATGTAAAGAAAGATGGCAAATACTTTTGTATGTAATAAACCACTGATAAAGCTCTTTCAGAGGTTTATGTTACATGACACATATTTAATCTTAATATGTTACAAAGATGAGATACTAAAATACCAAACAGCAGATTTCAATGCTCTATTATTAAGTCAATTTTGTTTAGACATCTTGGTAACCTCTCAGTTGTACAAAGATTTGCAAATATGTGAAATCAATTCATTTCTTTTGAATATAACTTACCCCATGTTTCTGCTGAGGTCTTTGCAGTCCTCTCCAATATTTTCTTCTACTGATTTTTCTATAAGAAAATCCAGAGAATACAGTATGGCATATTTATATTCAATATAAAAAGTATTATACCCTCACTGTTTTGACATGGGTTTACACATTATATTTACCACATATTCCCTTCAAGAATTCAAATACCAACAGTACACACATATGCGAGAGATGGATATTCTCTGACTAAATGAACAATGGGAACATGCTGAGGTTTTACCTATGGAGATCAGGTTCAAATATGTCTCCTTCATCACATCTCTGAAGAGCTTCTTCTGACTGGAATCCAACAAAGCCCACTCTCCTGAGGTGAAGTTCACAGCCACATCCTCAAAGGCCACTTTCTCCTAAAGGTACACATATCAGGACGGTTAATTTTAACTGACAGACTGACAGGATACAGAATCATCTAGCATATAATTTCCTGAATTATATGCTAGATTATCATGGAAATAGCAATAACTAAAGAATATCTATGGGATGCTATCTTGATTACCTAATGGAATAAAGAGACACACTGTCTCATTTACTACTCAACTGCCCTTAGAAACCATCATGACCAAGCAACTATTATAAAGAAAGCATCTTGGGGACATTGCTTACACTTCTAGAGGATTAGTCAATGATTTTCACGGTGGGAAGCAGACAGGCATAGACCTGGAACATATTCAAAGCAAAACACAATCCAACTTGAGAGGCAACATTTTGTGAACCCTGTAGGAGTTACTCTAGTTGAAGATAAGACCTAAGACACACATAACTACACACTACTCTTCCTGATCGCGTGCACTGTGACTAGCAGCTTCCCAGTTCTGCATTTGTGAATGATACACACACTTCAATTGTGATATGAAATAAACTCCTGGTTATTTATGACAGCCAGATGAAAAGCCTTATAGAAGCAATATATGTAAAGGTTGAAGAGACAGCTCAGTGTTTAATAGCATTCATATCTTCCAGAATTCCTCAGTTCAATTTCCAACAACCATAAGGAGGCCGAAAACCTTCTACAATAGAGGCATAATTTCCTTTCATGCAGGCATACATGCAAAGAGAGTCCTTGCAGTGATACATTATTCATCTTCCTTTTTAATAACCTATCTTATTTCATGTGCATGTATTTCTGGGTGACCATGCCAGGTCCCTTGGAAATGGAGTTACAGACAACTGTCAGCTGCCACCTGGGTGTTGGGAATTGAACCCAGGTCCTGTGGAGGAGCAGTCAGTGCTCTTAACTGCTGAGTCATCTCTCCAGCACCAACTCTTGCTTTTCTTCCAATGGTATAAATCTTTTGCCTTTTACGTATTCATATTCTAACTCATGAAGATTTCCTCAAGATCAGAGGGTGGAGCTAGCTACTAGTTAACCATAGAGGTTTGGAGGTCTCTGCAGCAGTCAGATGTGATGTGGCTGGGCAGAGAGAGGAATATAAGGCGGGAGGAGAGAGGCACTCACTGTCTTTTCAGTCTGAGAATTATTCAGGAAAGAGCTCTAGTGTCTGTCTGCTTCTCTGATCTTTCAGCTTCCACCTCCTAATATCTGACTCTGGGCTTTTATGACTAAGACCTCTTAGAACTCATGTTCCACACCGGGCGTTGGTGGCGCACACCTTTAATCCCAGCACTCGGGAGGCAGAGGCAGGCGGATCTCTGTGAGTTCCAGGCTGGGCTGGACCGATAGCCTCCAAAACAATACAGAGAAACCCTGTCTCGTAAAACCAAAAACCAAAAACCAAAAAACAAAAAAACAAAACAAAACAAAAAAACGAACAAAAAAAAAAAAAACCCTCATGTTCCATATTGGTGCCGGACTGAAAGGCACAAATTCATGATAAAGCCACTCGCCCTTGGCTTTGCAGCCAACAACACAGCATGAGGCTGCAGGCAATGCTCTCCCACCAGAGTGACACCCTGCCTGGCTAGGTGTTATTTTCTTTTTGCCCAAAGCCTCTGAGTAAGTTTGGGGTTTTCATGCTGTAGCCTCTTTAAAACAGTCTCTAGCTGCCACCCAATTCTAGATGCATCTGGGCTCCAAATGCCACAGGACACACCCACCCTAGACCAGCTAGTTCTGCCTGAGGCAACTCCTGCCACACAAGCTTGTTCTACACAATCCCATGTGCAGTTTTCAGACAGCCAGTTCCCCCTCCCCTGTGGGTTGCGGGCTCCTCCTGAGCCCCCTCCTCGAGCTGCTGCCATACTGTGCAGCTGTCCTGACAACTGCTCAGGCTCCTCCTGCATTTGCAGCTGCCACACACTCGCAGCTCATGGCTACATGCCAGCAGCTGCAGCTGCCTTCTGCCAGGCTGTGCCCTGCCTGTGTTCTCCACTCAGATGTGCTGCACAGTGGCAGCCGCGTGCTCCATCACCAGCAGATATGGAGAGACAAATGAAAGTAAAAATAAAGTTTTTTTTCACACATTAAAAAATGGGAAACACCATTGCAATGCAGAGATTTAGGTCTCTGTATGGTAATATGCTGGATGGTTTGAAAATGGAATAATTAAACGAGAAAATAACTAGTTTAGATGGGAGGTATGTAATGTGAATTATAAGCATTATCAATTTTTTTCATTTTTTATCACTTGAAATTGTTTAAAGTGAGTGCTAAGATACAAGGATTACAAAAACTTAATAAAACAGATCATGGAGATATTCAGACCCAGACAGAGGACTTTAATGGAGAACCAATTTCAGCATCACATTATAAGAGGCAAAGAAAAATTTGCCTTGTTGTAGATTACAAATTGCTCCTGAAAAAATACAAGGAGGAGATTCTATAACTATTAAGGATGTAAAATAGTTCTACAGAAAACTACACCTGCAAAGGTACAAATTCAGAGATCAATTGCTGCCTCTTAATGACTTTCAAAGATTGCTGGGAAATGCTTCCCATCTATGGCACATTATTGGGACAAAACCTGATCAAATGATTAAACAAAACCAGAGATGGTGACAAGGAATTAAACAGTCATGAGAATCATCAGCTGAAGCCAACAGAGAATTACCCGTGGGGGAAAAGAAAATACAATATGGCCATGTGGATCCTTTGGATCCAAATCTTGATTGCATTTTGGTTATTTTACCCTCTAGGCATTCTCCTACAGGAATATTAATGTAGAGGGAGGACATTATCTTAGAATGGATGTTTTATCACATAAACAAAGACTTAAAAACTTATGTGGAAAATATCTCTAAGTTGGTCCTAAAAGACAAATTGAGAGTTCAGCAGTTAGCAGGAAGAAACCCTGCAGAAATTGCAGTGTATTTTACTGATAATAAAATTGACAAATTGTGTGTAGAAAATGAACCTTGGCAAAGAGCTTGCAGTATCTTTTGGGAGAGATTAAGAACCCATATCCCAAAAGCAAGAGAATTCAGTTTATAAAAAGAAGTAACTGGATCCTTTCCCATCATATGTGGGAATGCCAATATCTGGAATCCCTATATTCTCGACTGATGCAAATAAGTCAGAAGGTAGGGTACAAATCAGAAAATTTAGGTCAAGTGCCTCAAAGCCCTAATGATTATGTCTCATAGTCAGAATTATATGCTATTCTCATGGTATTAATGGATCTGACAGAATCCTTCAACATAGCTACTGATTCACATTATGCAGAAAGTTGTTTTGCATAATTGAATCTGCTGACTGTATGTCACATGATAGAAAATTGACTTTATTATTTATTCAGTTACAAGAATTAAACAGGAATAGGAATCATAATATATATATGGCTCTGCCAAGACCTCTAGCACAAAGAAGTCAGGAAATTGATCCAATATTGACAGGAAATGTGCCGGAGGCCTAAGAAAGGTAAAGTGTATACATTTGAGAGACATAAAAAGAAGTCAATTTTGTTAATGCAAGTAAGATTAGAAGTGAATTAGGTACAAACTTTTGGACTCACCAAGACAGGATAGATATGGAGTATTTTCTGTGAATTTCTCAATTGTTAAAGGACTAGACATAGTTGATGTATTCATTGTCTGTATATATTGTATATAATTATTGTGCTTGTTGTATATACTTTTTCTTATATTAGTTATAACCTTTTATTCTTTAGACAAGAAAAGGAAAATGTGGTGCTATCTTGTTTACACTATGAGAAATAAAGCTTGCCTGAAGATCAGAGGGTGGAGCTAGACTAGTTAACCATAGAAGTCTGGAAGTCTGTACAGACAGACAGGAAGTGACATGGCCAGGTAGAGGGAGGAATACAAGGCAGGAGGAGACAGGAGCTTGCTCTCTTTTCAATCTGAGGAATTCATAGATGGAAGAGGTCTATGGTTTACTGCTTCTCTGATCTTTCAGCCTTCACCCCTAATATCTGACTCTGGGCTTTTATAATTAAGACCTATTGGAAGTAGTGCTACATGTCTCCATATACAAAAACAAATACATCTTTAAAAAGTGAAATGCATTTAAACAATGGGACCTGGAGGGACAGAAAACTTCCAACAACATGGAGGCATGTTTAATCCCTTCATCCTGAGACAGAGGAGGAAGATCACCAAATTGGAGACTAGTCTGATTCAGAGAACTTGTTCCAAAACAGCCAATCCTACTCAAAGAAACTCTGTCTCAAAAAAACTGAAACTAGCAAAGCAAGAAACAAACAGAAATGCAACCAAAACCTTAATGGTGTAAACAGCACATAACTTAACGTATGGTACTCTGGAATAAACCTATTTGATTTGGGGGGCTTTGCACTGCATTGTACAAGAGCATGCTCTGGGTTTTGGGAGCACTCACTTCCTGGCACACACAGTATCACTCACATGCCTTTTCCACAAAGTAGTGTCTAAGGTTTGCACTGTACATTATTGTGATGATGTTTTATTCATGCTATAACAAAGCTTGCCTGAAGATCAGATTGCAGTGCTAAGCTACTGGTTAGTCAGAGGCCAGACAGTTGTGGCAAACTCCTTTAATTCCAGCACTTGGGAGACAGAATCCGAGGGAGCTCGGTTAATTCAGGGTCACCATCAAGTATACAGGACTGAATCTGTCTTCAAGAGAAACAAGAGCTCACACAAAGGTGATCCCAGCACTTGGGAGACAGGAGAGATAGGGCTGTGTGAAGAGAGAAACATAGTGAGGGTGGAGACAGGAGCTCAGAGCAGTCTGAGGATTCAGTCTGAGATGCAGTCTGAGGATTCAGTCTGAGATGCTGTCTGAGGATTCAGTCTGAGATGCAGTCTGAGGGCTCATAGGTCAGGATGGCCTCTTTCCTGTCTGAGCATTGGTAGACAGAAGAACTCTAGTGACTGGCTGCTCTGCTTCTCTGATCCTTCAGCTTTCACCCCCATTACCCACTCCCAGTTTTTATTATTAAGACCAATTAGA